AGAATAGCCATCAAAGAGCGATACCAAGCAAGACCAACTTTCAGATTCCCAAAATAACTTGCTGCCGACGTGGAACCTGTTTGCGAGGCAACTTGAACCTTCATTTATTGGCTTCTTCTTCCCGGTCTGTCCGTGCGGGCTGCAATCCCGGACTCATGCTTTCCTTCTGCACATTCGTCCTATTTTTCCTGAGCTTGTCAGGCCTTCTGCACGCCAAATCCAGCCACGGAGACTCAGTTCTCGTGGTCGTCGAGGAAGTCCACAAGAAGGACTATTCGATATTCTTTGACGGCTTGAAAGGTACGTCTGGAATGCTTGTGGACGCTGCTGAACTAGTTTGACGCCTGGATAGAGCAGGGATATGAGCTTACCTTCCGCGCGCCCAAGGACGAGAAACCAGTCGTGTCTGAGCACGACGTGCCCTCATTCGCCCACATAATCATCTTGGCCTCGGAATCCAAAAGTGAGGACGCGTTTGGCCTTGAAAATTGCCTTTAAATCTCATTGCACACGCAGACTTTGCGAAAGACATTACACCGCAGTCCCTAGTCGAACTCCTCTCCGGCGGCACTAACCTCATCCTCGCACTTTCCACAAAGCAAACCGCACTCTCATCCCTCGCCGCTGAGTTCTCCCTCATCCTCCCGCCCCCGAGCACACCATTGGTCTCGTTCTTCCCCGAGCGCAAGGACCCGCCGACGGTCATTCCCATCTCCGCACCCGCGTCCTCGCTCATCCTTTCCCCCAAACTCGCCCCCGTGTGGTTCTCTGGTGCCGCTCACGCCCTCGGCAACAACCCTTTCCTCGTCCCGATCCTGCGCGCGCCCACAGAGAGCTTCGCCGCGGACACGGACAGCGGTGCGGACGCACTGGTCGATGCGACAGAGAAGGGCGGTGAAGGCTTCTGGGCCGGCAGCCAGCTGAGCGTCGCGACGGGTTTCCAGGCGCTTGGCGGTGCGCGTGTGACGTGGGTCGGCGGTGTCGACCTGTTCAGCGACAAGTTCGCGAAGAAAGAGGTTTCCAAGTGTGTTTTTCGCTCTCTTTCGCGTGGTATAATTTCTAATCTCATTGCAGGGGCGTGAAGTCCGGAAACACTCAATTCGCGCGCGACGTCGCGGCGTGGACGTTCCAGGAGTCGCTCGTGTTGCGCATCGACAGCACGACGCACCACCTCGTCAACACCACGACCCCGCCGGAGCAATATACCACCAACGACAACATTGTGTACTCCGCACACATCTCCCGCTTCAACCCCAGCAAGTCGACGTGGGAGCCGTATTCTGGCATCAAGGACATGCAGCTCGAGTTCACGATGCTGGACCCGCACATCCGCACCGCGCTCCTACCCGTCCCTGGGTCGCCCGGAAAGTACTCTGTGACGTTCCGCGCGCCCGACCGCCACGGCGTATTTAAATTTGTCATTGACTATAAACGAAAAGGGTGTGTGCAGCGATTCGTATTCTTGCAGCAGCTTGTTAACGCAACGCAGGTGGACGCACCTCCACAGCTCAACGACTGTTGCGCTCGTCCCGCCCCGGCACGACGGCTACCCGCGGTTCCTCAGCGCCGCATGGCCGTACTACGCGGGCGCTATCAGCACCAGCGTTGGCTTCTTCCTGTTCTCGGCGGCATGGTTGGCGGGCGAGTCGCGCGAGAAAAAAGCAAAGGCCAAGGCGCAGTAAACTACGATGATTATGTAGAGGCCAACTTGTACCATTTCTCTCGACTTGCACGCTTCGCACAAAATTATGAGTATGAGGGGGGTGGTCGTCAAATGTCGTTGCATTCGTAGGAGGGGGGATAGGATAGGAAGCCATTAATAAGTTCCATTCTAAGTAGCGAAAAGAGGGACAGCGAGAATAAGTAAAATAGGATGCATGCCGAACATCTATTCTGTGGGCGCAACATGAATCGCACGTTCGCAGTTTGTTTACAAGTGCAGAGACGAACGTTTTTGAGCTAAAAACGCGGATTACTTGCCACCAGTCGTGCCCATGCCCATGGCGGCCTTGAACGAATCGTAGATCCACCATTGGAAGCCAGTGAGCGTACCTGAGGCGGCATTAACACCGGAGAATTGTTGAACAGAGAAAATGGCGCACCAATCATGACAACCCTAGTACCGAGACCTTTGGTGGCAAGCTTGGCCATTCCAGTTTCGTTGATGATGGTGCCGACGGATTTGCCTTTGTTTTCGACCTTGCCAAGGAGGGAGACAACCGAGTCGGCGGGGTGGGAGACAATGGCGCAGACCACACCGGCGAGGTAACCAGACGCAAAGGTGACACCGAGCTGAGTGGTCTTTGCATAAGAGTCTTTGGGCTCGGTGAGGACATAGGTGTAGAAGGATTGGACGATCTTCTCGAAGAAGAAGAACTTGGCCATGGTGTACGGGATCTGGGTCGCGCGCTCAATTTACCGAAAACAAATGAAAAAAAAAGTAAAAGCGAACCTGACGCGACCAGAGAGGGACGAGGGAGCCAAAGGGGAAGCGGGTTTCGACCTTGGTGGCCCTCATCTGGGAGAGCGCGGCACCAAAGCCGGTGGGGAAGGTTCCGGTCGCGCTGGTTTGGATTTTGACCTTTGTCATCTCGAGCGGGCAGAGGGCGATGTCGGCAAAGACTTCGGCGGAGGCGGAACCGGCTAGCCAGATTGCGCCCTTGTACTTGTTGGAGAGCTCCTCGCCGGCGAGGTTCATATAGGCGTCCTTGAACACTTCATACAGCCCGTATTTGAACATGCCCTGGAGCGAGTAGCCGACGAAAGTGGGCCCGAAGCCCTTCCAGATACCGGTCTGGCCCTCCTCTTTGATCAGGGTCCGCAGGCTGGGCAGGAGGCCGCTGTATTTCAGAGGGTTGACCTGGCGGGGAAAAAAAGTAAAAAGTGAAAAATGAGATAAAAACGATGACTGAAGGGACGTCGAGAGTACAAACCTGCATGTTACATTTTGCGACGTCGAGGGGAGTGATACCGGCATGGGTGAAGCCACAGGCAAGAGCACCGCCGAGCATGCACTTGGAGTAGTAGCTAACATCGTGGGGCACAGGCCCTGCTAACCTGTAGAACGACGGGTGAGGGTCGGAGACGACGGCGGACGCGATGGACGGACCTGGCATCCCATTTTCTGAGGGTGGGGGTGGACATGGTGTCGTCTAGATGGCGTCTAGGGTGAAGATGGGTGCTTGCCTTGCTGGCCGGCCTGTTCCGACTTTATCTTTGTTGATCCCGGCTGTTTGTCTTTCCGTGCCGACTCTTGCTTCCGTCCCCCTCGTCCACTTAATCCTCGTCGGGCTCGCTAATCTTCCGACGCAAGTTTCAACTCAATCGCCGTCACCAACTCTTCCCTCCAGCTCAGGTGCAAATATGCAGCGCTTACCAAGAGCTCACGACAAAGAAACGGATTCCCATTCGAAGTGCCGTCCTTCCGAGTCCTTCTTCCTCTACTGCAGTCCGGTAAATTCAAATGACCCGCAGGTGGATGTTCGAAGCAAATGGAGTTCCTACGTACGTGCCCCCGTCCCCACTGCGCAGCTCCGGACTGATACAAGGTTGTAGATGTACAAATCATATTTCATTGAGAATATGCGAAAGGTTCATCATCAAGGGCTTGGAAGTGAAAAGAGGTGTTTCTTTCCGGGTAGGCGCCACGGCGCAATCTTCGTCCATGATCTTGTCCAAAAATCTACGCGAAGAATTAACAACTCGCGTTCGAAACACAACCGCGGGGGGCATACGTTTTCCAGCCGGGAGAGTCAAACGAATCGCCCAGGTTTTCGACCTGGCCGGCGTAGAATGCGTCCACTTTTTCCCAGAAGGGCCGATGAGAGTGACCGCGCTTACGGTCAAGCCCGTGCTTCCGTATGTACCAACGCTGCAACGAATCAAGTCTCTCGTGTGGATGTCGATTGAAGAACTCACCAACATCGCCACCTTGGTGGCCAAGAACGGCGCGGGGGGGAACTTGTCACATACCTCGGCCAGAGGGCAGTTAATGGTGGCAATCAACTAACCGTTGTTCAACACTCGAGTTGTTGGTGAGCGCGGTTGGCTTACCTTGCGGCGGATGGCCTCCATTCCTTTCCGTACAGTCGCCTCGTCTACCCCAGGGGTTTTCTGCGCCAGTGGACGAATTAGTGGGCTACGCTGAGTGACCATGGCTGGGCTTGCGAGTAGGCTGTTGTACTGCTGACGCAGAGGATACATGTCTTCAGATATGTCGTCCATGAGGAAGCAAAGGAATGGGACTCACCTATCTTGGGGTGGGTTAAAATACTTGTACATGGGCGCAGCACAGATCTACCTACCCGAAATTACGGCGCTCAGATGCGGGATCGAGATTCTAAAAACGGCCCTTCAAAATCACGTGACCGCATCGGCATCGTCCATCCTGCGGACACTGGCAACACGAGCAACAGTGTGTGCAAAGATTCCACCTACATGTAAGAAAAATGGGCCCTGCAAAATTTCTCCCTTGTACTAGTATGCAGTGCATTGCATGCAATATGTGGGCAGGGAAAGCCTCTGGCTTGAAAAATATGATCCAGATTCAGCTGTTGAAACCACCCATCAACCCTGCAAAGAAGCCCTATCAAATGAAAAATGCTGCCAGGCAAGCACCCAACCTCAAGTAACGGCACAAGCTAAAAGCTTCGAATTTTCAATGCAGAAGTGTGTCCATATATAGGCATATGGGTGTGGGAAAGTACAGACTTGTGGTGAATTGATACTGATTAGGTCTGGAATGTGGTAAAAGTGTATCACCACATTGTTTTGCTAGATCCACTGCCCCTTGATCGGGGAACTTGGATTGAGGACCACCCATTTCCAGGGCATGTGGCATGTCCAGTTGGGCTGGCAGACAGATCTGCAGAGGTTGTAATCTGTTTATTACAGGCTCAGTTCACGACTGCGTGGTCTCTCTTCGACGGTTTCTCTAAAATGTCAGATCCGTGATCAGGCCTCCCGCGACATTAGCTAAAACAATGCCAACATTGTCGAGCGCCGCCGTAGCACAAAGGTAGTGCATTGCCTTCCTAAATCTTACTCGATTGGGCTCTAAATTGCTCGTTATGTAAATAGTGAGGCAAAGGTTGTGGGTTCGAGCCCCATCGGCGGTTTTTTGAAAGCCTTACAACCTTTTTTATGTCGTTCTTCCATCAAGCGGCAAATGTATATGCAAAAACTGCGATACAGGTTGCGGTTCCGCCTTCGTATCTCAAGGCTGCTCTAATACTGGTCAGGGACGTCCCACATTTCCCTCGAAATTTACCCAATTTATTGGACCCGTTTGATTTTTTCGAAAAGAAGTGCATCGATGCATTTAACTCGAGCGGACAGTAGCAGGGAAGGGATTTGACATGAGGAACGTGGAAGAACTCCATCGTTTTCCGCTTCGCACCCTTGGCCAAGGCGAGCTCCAATCGCTTGTTGAAGTCTTTTTCTCATACAAAGCAACAAAATACATATATTTTGAATATATCGGTCCAGAGTCAAGACGACCAAACTGCGTTGGTTTAGCAATGCACGTCTGAATTTGCACGTCTTGGTATGCGCAGAGGGGAACAGCAGTGGAGGACGGGGAGGAGCAGGATCCTGCCCCTCACTCAGTGGGTTCACTATCCAGTTCAGTTTTTTTTTGGGAATTATGGGAGTTCCATCGGAAACCAAGACTGCCGTCTGCCTCAGCTCAGCTCTCTTCGTGCCAGCGCTCAAACTTGCCCGCCGACAAGTCGGCGCGGTAGTTAGTTTCTATGGTCTCGCAGAGGGTATCGAGGTCGGCGAGGGCAGTTATAAGAGCGGAGAGCGAGGAGAGGTTGTCTGCGGAAGCAATTAATTTCCAGCAGAAATCCCAGGTTCAAGACAACGCACCGTACATCTGAATGCGGACTTGAATGACGTTCTCCGACGGGTGAGGAGCACTATCAAGTTCTAGTTGGTCAGTATCTCACCGATGAGTTCGAATCAGAATTAGTTGAGCAGAAGATGGGCAGACAAAGGAGCAAATCTGCGATGGGGCGTGACCAGGACAAAGGAAGCCAGGGCAACGTCCGAACGCCATCCAAGACGGTCGGAGGTATCTGCTCGTGACGACAAAGGAGCACCATGTGGACCGCGCGCGTCGAACGTGACTTTGAATGATTTTAACTTGCCTGTATCCGCAGAATTCGACCTTTGGGCTAAATGCAGCAAGCGATGAGTCGAAGGAAAGGATTAGTGTGAGAAGTTCCAGTACTTTTTCATGATCATCCAGCGGAGGGCGTTTCCAATTGTGTGCGACTCGTCGTGGATCTGGTAGGTTGCGGCCGAGAGGTCCGGGGTGGCGCCCTTCATCTGGGATTTGCCGGTGAGACGCACCCTACATGGACCGTGGTTTGGTGCGTACAATCGTAACCTTTGGCGGGAGGTCAGCCATTGCTGTCTATACAATGAAGAACGAGGGCAGAAAATGTTAGGTGCCGACGCCAAACAAGTGCAACGTCCCAATCGTGCTTTGGTCCTGGGATGTCTACTTACCTCCAGTTTGACCGAACTTAACGAAAGCGATAGAACTGGGCTCCCTTGGCATTGCATTTACTATTGTCTCGATTCAAGCGACTTTCGCGCCCTTTCGCGCACATGAATAATTGCGCACAATGCGCCAAACCGACGCCAAACAAGTTTCGAATTTCTTTTGTGTTACTTACTGGGTCTACAATGAACACGCGCACAGGGAACTATAGAGAACTCGCTTCCTGCCGTCAATGCATCGGCTATCCGTCCTATTCAGGTCTATAAAGCTAGCTCGCCGCTGGCCAATGCAACACCGCACTTCCCTTCAATTCCCGGCTTGCTTTCTTGATACCCACATAAAATCCCCGGTGGATTCGACGAACACGACCTGACCTCTGTCTTTCCCCCACCACTGTATTATGTCTTCCTTCTCCGAGCGCCCCACGCTGCCTCCCCTGCACACCCTCAACTTGCTGCCTCCATCCTTCGGACAGCGGAGCGGGGACTCTCCTCACGACTCTGTGCGTTTTGCATTCTTTTCCTTGTCGGTGTGCTCATCCATATCGCGCTCAGTCCCCACGTCTTCATGTACCAAAGCGCTCCTGGGCCTACCCGCGCAGAGTGTCAATGTCCTCATCATCTTCCTCCACCTCACGTACGCCCTCGCCCTCGCCCTCCGACTCCAGCTCGAGCAGCTCGAGCACGAGCCCCACCTCTCCAAAAGTCAAGCTCGTCCCCTGCTCCTTCGCCGACGCCGACGCTGTTGTCGTTATCCCGCCCCCCGGTTCTCCCGGACAGGGTCTCCTACTTACTGGCCCCGCGCTTGCGCACCTCCGCCACCCGCAGCGCCAAATCGCCAAGGGCACCCGCCTCCACCCATACCGCTTCGCCAGCCGCCGTCGCGCCTCTGTGGCCTCCTCCGTCGCGTCGTCAGCAGTATGAGCCCCAGTGAACACTATGCCATGACATACGACCCCCGCCGTCGCAGTGCGCGTCGCATGAGCCCGCACCCCACGCCCAGACCGTGATGAACCTGCATGTATTGCCTATCCTGTATCAAATACCGCTTACACTTATACCACTGTATCACATACGACGAGGAGAGGTAGATGACCGACGACACCCCATAAAATATAACTATGTTAATGACACAATGCATCCCGATCTTCCTCATCGTGGACTGGATCGAGTTCAAGTTGTCTGTATCGGAGTCTGCGAACGTTATAAAATACAATGCACGGTGTTACAATACAGTCCCTTATTCCGCTGCCTCTTGCTCCAAGATTTCGCGCTCGAGGCGCTCCCGCTCAGCCTGTCGAAGCCGCATCAGAGTCAGTGCCTCATAATCAACGCTGGGCGCCGCGGATTTGGGCTCGGCGGAGAACGAAGGTAAATCGGGCTGCAAAGTAGCGTACATAAGGAAAGGTGCTGGGTGGAAACGGAGAAGACTTACAAAGGTGGTTGGGAAGGACGAAAAAGGCGAAGCGCTCGCCGCTGACGGGACTGTTTGAGGCAGCTGTGCGGATCCAGGGGCGGAAGTGGGCTTGGTAGCAACAGATGGTGGGGGTGGCTGCGCCGACAGCTTCCCCATTTTCTTTAGCCACACAAGGATCTCGGGCTCTTTCCCGCCAACCCATCCCGCCTCAATACCGGCCATGCCACGGTCCGCCCGTCCACTCGCGCACACTGCCGCGAAAGCGTCCCCAATCTGCTTGAACGGCACGAGCGCGGTCGCGTGCTTAGGCGCCTTGTCGGGCGATTTTTTGGGTGCTTTGGAGGAGATGACGATTGAGTCTGCGTCAGTTGCACCAAAGGGGGCAAGCAGGGCGGCAAGGGCTGCGGGCGTCGTCAAATCCGGGTGCGCGGAGAGCTTGAACTTGAGGCGGATGGTGGTATCGAGCGGATCAAGAGTCGGCGCTTCCAATTCCTCCTCCGCCGATTGCTGCTGCTGTCGCGCCTCTGCCTCGCGCTTGCGGAGCTCATTCTCCCTCTCCTCGCGGAGTCGTCTGCCCTCATCCTTGATCTTCTCCGTCTCATGCCATCGGCTCGCTTCGTCCTGTTGCTGCTCCATCTTAGCCTTCTTGAAAGCCCGCTCGCGCTCCTCGAGTTCCGTGACCATGTTCTTACGCTTGTTGTCATAACTCTTGAACCGCTCGTCGCGCGCGGCTTTGACACGCAACTTGGCGTCGAGCGCGAGGCGCCGCAGCGGGTCGAGCAGCAGCTCATAGGACTGAGTCAAGACGTGGAATTTCCGGGCTGCATCTGGGTCGTTTCGATTCTAGAAAAGGAGGAGCTGCTTGTCAGAGGATCAGTCGGGTTGAGGGACGAAAAGACGGCAGACTTACTCGGTCAGGGTGAACCTTGCGAGAGGTTTGGCGGTAGGCGGTGCGGATTTCTTGCTCTGTACAGTCGAGCTTGAGCTCTAATAGCTCGTAGGGGTTGACTTCAGCTTCGGGCGCAGCAGCCATGGTGGGAGAAAGCAAGAAGCGATCACATTGTGATGTAACTGGGACAAACAACGCGCACACGTCGATGGCCGGCGCCAAGGCTTCTTCAACCGGTAAAATAAATGCACAGGAAAAAAGTGAAATTGGGATACAATAAACTGGAATCGGTACGTAGTCTGTACAGTGAAAACGCAAAGGGTATATGGGTGGAGAAGTTATACTACAGCAAGCACAAAGGGTATAGGAGCAGAGTTCGAGGGAGAAATGGGATCGGTATAGTATGTAGACGACGGGTATATGAGCAGAGCTCGATAGGGAGAAATGGTGTAGGTATAGGTATAGTATAGTATGTACAAAGGGTATAGGAGCAGACCTCGAGAGAAAATGCGATAGGTATGTAGAGTAAAAGAGGAAGGGTATATGGGCAGCGAGAGAAGAAAAGACGCGGGTATCATAGCTGCGAAGCAAGAGGAAAAGAAATTATGCTGCACCGGCCTTTGCGGTCTTCTTCTTGGCCTTCGACGCCCGCTTGTACCGCTTTTTATCGCGGCAGGGTTTGGGCCCAGGCGGTGAGGCTGAAGGATAAAGTCGCCCATAAATGGAGCGAACAAGCACCGACTAGGAAAGAAATGAGAAGAATACTCGGAGCAGGTGGAAAATTAACGCACTAGGAACAGCCAGACTAAACCAGCGAATCCCACCTCGTAACTGAAGCACATTGGGCCCATTTCAAAGGCGGCGAGGACGAAGGACCACTAGAGAGTACAATTAGAGATAAGATGCGAAGGGCGAGGAGAGCACATACGAGTAGAAGTTCATTCAAAATGAATAACCGACTAGCCAGAGTAGAAACGCGAGACCTGAAGTTGAGCAGGCCGCTCGCCCAGTTTACGATAACGCGCCGAATGATGGCGAATAGACGTGCCCACATCGAACGACGGCGAAGCCCGAACGACGGTTTGCGCTGAAGAAACATTGAGCGAGATGCTGGAAGAAGAAAATAGAACGTACGTGCAAGGCCCAGGCCGCCATGAGCGCGCCGCCGAGGGTGTCGATGACGACCGTCAGGAGAACCGAGGCCAGGGCGTCGTCGAACCCGTTGATGCGATGATCACCCAGTGGTGGACGCATTCTCATGGCCGTATGGAGGAGCGCCGCCTTGGCGAGCTCTGCGGGCGCTG